CTTCTGTCTAAAATGAGTCTCTTGTAGACAGCAAATAGATGGGTCCTCCTTTTTTATCCAGTCTGAAACCCTGCACCTTTTGATGGGGTCATTAAGCCCATTCACTTTCAGAGTTACTATTGAAAGGTATGAGTTTAGTGTCATCATGATATCTATTCAGTCCCTGTTTTTGTGGATTGTTCCACTGGACTTCTTCTTAAAGGGGAATTTTGAGAGTCCCCCTTAAAATTTGTTGCAGAGCAAGTTTGGAGGTCACATATTCTTTTGGTTCCTGCCTGTCTTGGAAGCTCTTTATCTCTCCTTCCATTCTGAATGAGAGCCTTGCTGGATAAAGTATTCTTGGTTGCATGTTTTCCTTATTTAGTACCCTGAATATATCCTGCCAGCCCTTTCTGGCCTGCCAGGTCTCTGTGGAGAGGTCTGCTGTTACCCTAATAGTCCTCCCCATAAAATCAGGGATTTCTTGTCTCTTGCTGCTTTAAGGATCTTCTCTTTTTTTTTTTTAATTTTTATTTATTTATGATAGAGAGAGAGAGAGAGAGGCAGAGACACAGGCAGAGGGAGAAGCAGGCCCCATGCACCGGGAGCCTGACGTGGGATTCGATCCCGGGTCTCCAGGATCGCGCCCTAGGCCAAAGGCAGGTGCCAAACTGCTGCGCCACCCAGGGATCCACAGGATCTTCTCTTTATCTTTGGAATTTGCAAACTTAACTATTAAATGTCGAGGTGTTGAACGGTTTTTATTGATTTTAGAGGGGGATCTCTCTATCTCCTGGATCTGGAGGCCTGTTTGCATTCCTAGATTAGGAATGTTTTCAGCTATGATTTGTTCAAATACATATTCTGGCCCTCTGGCCCTTTCGGCATCCTCGGGAACCCCAATTAAACGTAGTTTTTTCTTCCTCAGGCTGTCACTTACTTCCCTTAATCTATCCTCATGATCTTTTAATTGTCTCTTTTTTCCTCAGTTTCCCTCTTTGCCATCAACTTGTCTTCTATGTCGCTCACTCGTTCTTCCACCTCATTAACCCTCATCGTTAGGACTTCTAGTTTGGATTGCATCTCATTCAATTGATTTTTAACTTCTGCCTGATTGGATCTAAATTCTGCAGTCATGAAGTCTCTTGAGTCCTTTATGCTTTTTTCTAGAGCCACCAGTAGCTGTATAACAGTGCTTCTGAATTGGCTTTCTGACATTGAAGTGTAATCCAGATTTTGTAACTCTGTGGGAGAGAGGGCTGTTTCTGATTCTTTCTTTTGAGGTGAGGTTTTCCTTCTAGTCATTTTGCTCAGTGCAGAGTGGCCAAAAACAAGTTGTATTGGGAAAGGGAGAAAAACAAAGAAGAGAAAGGGGAGAAGGAAAAGAAAATAGGAAGAAAAAGAAGAGAAAAAAAAAAAGAAAAAAAGAGAAGAAAAAGAGAAAAGAAAAAGAAAAAGGGGGGAAGGAAACGGAAATCAAAAAGCAAAGAAAAAAACAAAACAAAACAAAACAAAAGAAAACCAAAAACCCATAAACCAAAAACCAAAACAAAAGAAAACAAAATGAAAACAAAAACAAAAAAACTAGGGGTAGTGTCCTCTGATTCTGTATACTGTAAGTCCCTTGACTTCCCGTGGAACTGGTCCGTCCAGCTGGTCTTCTGGGGGAGGGGCCTGTTGTGCTGATTTTCAGGTGTTAGCACTTGGGGGAGCTGTTCTGCCCCTGCCTGGTGCAGGGCTCAGTGGGGGTTGTTTACCCCGTGAGGCCCCAGGAGGAACAACCGCAGTGGCGGGGCCAGCTCTGCAGCCCTGGAGTCAGCTCCCGCAGTAGCTCCAGAGCTCTCCGTCTGCAGGGCCTGGAGGCTCCGGGGCGGGGCCGCTGATCTGCTCAGCTCGGGGCAGGAGCGTCCTTGCTGTCCTGGGCCCTCCCGGCCTCTGCCTGTCCCGGGGGAGGCCGGATCCTGGGCTGTGTCCCGGCGCCCTGTGCTCCGGGGCCTGCGCTGGTGGATTCGCGCTCCCGCCCCGCAGCCCCCTCCGCGGAGCCGCCGCCCGAGCCCCTCCGAGCTGCTCCGGGTCCCGCCGTGCGCGCTGCAGCCCTTAGGGAGCTCGGCGCACTCACTCAGGGCGCAGGTGCCTGTTAGTGTCCCCGGGAGCCCGAGGGCATCCCCGCCCTCCTGGGTCCTGCTCCAACTCCCTGCGGGCCCCTTTCCGCCCGGGAAGGTTGGTGCAGCTCCTGCTCCTCCGGGACGGGACGGGGCTCTCCTGTCCTGGGGACACTCGCCCCGGTCTCAGCCCGGCTCCTCGGGGCCCCCTCCCCCTCGGAGGCCTTTTGTTTCTTTATTTCTTTTTCCCCCGTCTTCCTACCTCGATAGAGGTGCGAACTCTTCTCACTGTAGCATTCCAGCTGGTCTCTCTTTAAATCTTAGGCCGAATTCGTAGATTTTCAGGATGATTTGAAGGTTATCTAGGTAATGAGCTGGGGACAGGTGACTTGGGGACCCTACTCTCCCGCCGTCTTGCCCCTCCCTCCTGAATTTATCTTTAAGATCACAATCCCTTACATGGAGTAAATAAGGTCTGGCTTAGAAATGGGTACCAACAACAGTCCTTGAAAGTGTGTATTCTCCAGTTGTAAGGAGAGCACTGTAAGGATTGACCATTTGATCTTACTGTTGGAACTATCATTTTATTTTTTGATTTTAATTAATTATTTATTTTTAGGGAGGTGGTTAGGAGGGGAAAAGTGCCAGAGAGTGCTAGAAAATCTTAAGCATGCTCCATGCCCAGTGTGGAGCCCAATGTGGGGCTCAATCTCACCGCCTGAGAGCATGACCTGAACCAAAATCACGAATGGGATGCTTAACTGACTGAGCCACGCAGGCACCCCTGGCACTATCATTTTAAAACTATTCAATGGATTACATCAAATTAAAAGAGGAAATCAAGATATACACTTTTGTCTTAAATATTTTGAGATCTGATTTGATTATGGTTAATACTGCTAGAATTGAGAAAAACAACACAATTTTAGAAGTTTTACACAGATCATTCTGAGTTGTATGTTCTTTGATATGGCCTTTGGAAAATCTTGTAATTTCTTCGTTTACCTTCTTCTAAGGAATCTTTAAAGAACAGTTGTAATTTCCAACAGATTCAGTCTTTAAACCTCTCATAATTTTTCTTGATGCTTGAAACATTTCTCTGTAATGCTGCTAGAGGTGTGCCTAAAATAACTAATAAAGAAAGTGTGAACTGAAAAATGTTTCTTCATAGGAGCATCCTTAATGGGATCTGTTTTTAAGTAAATTCCTTCAGACTTGCTGGCAAGTAAAATAGATTTGGAGGCTTTGTGTTTTCCTTTGACCCTCCATTTGCGTGGCCCACTGTTCTCCTTTTATCTCACATTGGCCAAAGCCAAGGCTATAATGCTCCATTTTTGTTCGTTGGAACCTTTTGGCTCCATATTCCTTTAGCAAAACTTTTCCATTCTGTTCCCTTCAGAGTCTTGTTACCTGTGTAGTGTTAAAATATTTAAGGATATTACTGATTTAAGATACTTCCCTTCCTAGACGTGTGTTACCCTTTCACAGTGGCCCTCAATTCTTTCCCCAACTTTAAAAAAAAGGATTTTATTTATTTATTCATGAGAGAGAGAGAGAGAGGCAGAGACATAGAGGAGAAGTAGGCTCCATGCGGGGTGCTCGATGTGGGACTCAATCCTGGGACCCTGGGATCACACCCTGGGCCGAAGGCAGACGCTCACCACTGAGCTGCCCAGGAGTCCATCTTTTTCCGAATTCTTAATTGAACCACAGTACGCATTCCTCAGAGGAGTGAGTGTTGATTATAGGAGATAAAATAGTAGACCAAGAGGAGGTCTTTGGGTACTGAAAGTTTTTTGGGTGACTGTGGAGTCTGTCTCTTTGGTCATTTCTGAATTTAAATTTCTCAGATACAAAATTTTACTGTATCTGTTTCCCTATCACTATAGCTTCAATTGCTTTGTGAAAAGTGGATTCACTGGGAAATGATCTTAAAAAGTACCAATGATTTCCTGCCTCAGTGATGCATATTCAGCAACAAAGATTCCCAGCTGACAATTTACCCTTCTACTGTTATTCAAGAAAGCACAGAAAGCATTTCTGTTTCCTTCCTTCCTGTTCTAGTTCTGAGCAGGAGATGCTAGAGCCCACTGTACATCATCTGTCTTCAACTCTGTCAAGAAAGGAGTGCTGTTCAGAGATCATCTGGAATTTGTCTGAATTTGATAATGTAGTGCAGAGCAGTTCTAAAAATAAAGACGGGATTGTTGTGTCCATTGGGAGCAGCTGATTTCATCACTGTTGTTTTTCACTTGTAGCCTGTGCCTTGTAGGGTGGTTTCTGTTTCTTGGAACAAGCTAAGAAGAGCCATTCTGTTTCTGGAATGCTGGAGTACGGGGTCTGTTTTTAAGGATAATATTTGGCTCATACAAGGAGCCTGTGTTCCCCAAGTGTAACGTTTGGTGCCTACAAGGAGGATTAGCATCTGTGGGAATTGAGGCTGAGAAATCGAATAGAAGTGCCACGGTCAAATAAAGAAGTGTTTATTTATTGATATTGTATTGAACCTCTTTGTAAAAAACATATTAAGTTCGCATAATTGAATAGGAGATCCAATTTGCTGTCTTGCTTTTGCCTGATAGGGAAGGTCAGCGTTAGGTTTTACGGCTTCCAAGAAAGTTCAGTTATTTTTGCATTCAAGGCTACCAGACTTTGAGGTAACATCTCCTTTATCTGTGCTTATCTGTATTTAATAATCAAACAAGGATTCCTACAGAATATAGTCTTGGGATATATATACTGAAAGACAACATAGAAATTTCCTAAGAGCTTGGTAGCTGTATATACGATAGTTAAAAGATTTTCTCTGCCATCTATTGAAGTTAAGGGAAGGACCTTATGATTATTAGCAATCTTATAACTCACTTTACATATTAGAATTTCATTCTCTATCTTGGTCTTCTTTTATTTCCTTTTTAGATACTAGCTCAGTCATGCACTGAAATCCTGGAATTGCGGCCTTCAAGTGTCTGTGTGGGGGGTAAGTGGTTAGAATTTAAAAATACCGTGTAAGAAATTGTATTTTTTCCCCCTAGTTAAATTATATGATTTGAAACTCATGTTGGAAAGAGAATAACAAAATTAACTTTTTTGGCATCCTTTTCTGTAAGAATTTTTAAATAATTCCTTGAAATATTTCTATTTTAAATTCAAATTTTTTAAGATTGGAGTGTTATTTTAAATAATGAACATATTGTGTGACAGGCTTTTAGAATTTTCTGTATATTTAGTTCATGTTTGAGACCTTTCCTATGACAAGTAAAATAAAATATGAAATTTTTTCTTTTATCTAATTATATAAACAGTCGTGTATCTGTAGACTTTGAGCTCTGTGCTTTGATGACCCGGCCAAAGTACAGTCCCTCTGGCCTGGGGCACATGAAGAAGTGATGTATGGTTGGATGGCAGGAAAGAAGTAGGTGGCTTCATTAGCAGGTGGCAAGAACAGACTCAGGTTTTAACACTTTGAAGCCATCCTTACCCAAAGAGAGTGCGATTCTGTTTCTTGTTCAAGTCTGACCTGGAGTTCATTTTAATCTAGAAAAGGAAAAATATTGGGTCTAGTGGAAGAGGAAATGGAAGAGGAAGAGGTAATTTCCCACAGAGCTTCCCAACCTCTGAGTATGGTCTGAAGTTCTGTATCTTTTAGACTTCCTGTTTAATGGGCTTTGAGATGTTTAAGAGGAATAGTGCATTTGGACATCCCAGAGCATCCCTCTGCTTTCCTAATTTTACCTCATCTTCATAACAACACTATCTGACAGTTTTATAATCCCTGATTCACAGATGACAGAATTGGGGCAGAGAGGTTCAGTCCTTGTTTTACTAATTGTCCCATTTGACTCTTGTCTGTGGACTCTAAAGCCATGTTCTTTTCACTGAGTCACATTTTAAGTTTTACCTGCACTTTAAATAAAATTCCTTTTATAACCTGCTTCATGAGGAGAGGCAAAATGATATTTTCTTCCACAATAAATTACTATAAATATGTTAGATTCTGATAGATAAGCGATTGTTTGAGAAGATTGAGAGTTAATCACTGTCAAAATAGTTAATATATCATCTTATAGCTAAATAGCAAACATTTAAATGCCAATCAAGATATTTGATCAGTTAGCTTGTTTTCCTAGCATTTTATTTTACTCTCTAACATGTAGTGACTGCTCCTTTTATATAGAGTCCTGAGCAGTAAGTTGAATACACTTCCTTTAGTGACAGGCCATAGACTATGAATAGTCCCAAATGCATGACTTCTGGTGAGTTATAAATATGTATGCAACAGAAAATGAAACTGGGATTAGCAATGTCAAGAAACTGTTAAAGAACTCTATAGGGAGTTTCAGAGAATAAAGAAAATACAACACATGACAGTTCTAAGAAAGAAATGAGTAAGTAATTTTCTTTACATTCCCATACCTTAATACCTGAGAGTAGAGAAGAACAAAGAAGCTTCTTTCCTGCTGATATTTTCCCAAGGATAGAATTTGGGGAAGTTTCTTTCTCTTTCTTTCTTTTTCTTCCTTTCTTTTTCTGGGGACAGAAATGAGGGGAGGGTAAGTTTCTGTGGTATGTGGGAATGACTGTTAGGCTTCAGTTCAAGTATCTTGGTTACTACCGGAAAACACTTTGTTTAAAAAATAAAATAATGCCTTTTTTACATGGCAATAGATGATATCTTCCCTGAATTTCCCTAGAGGGCCCAAGATAGAGAGTTGGAAATAAAGCAATGTCTTCATTGTTACTAGTAGGCTGAATGCTATGAAGAAATTCATTCTGTGCACCTTGACACTTTCAAGTTATCTCTCTCTCTCTCTCTCTTTTTTTTACAGCAGGGATTAAAATGTTATTTCTCTTTTTACTTCTAGATGAATTTCAAATTGTTTTGACTGGAAGAGGATTCAACTTGGGCAGTCGAAATGGGAGTGTTCTCTGTACCTACACTGTAAATGAAACCTACACAAAGAGTAGGTTCCCCAAGTGTTTCCTCCCCAAGTGTTCAAGTGTTTCCTCCTTTTTTTTTTCAATTGAAATCGACCATGCTATATTTTTAATCAAAGGAGAAAGAAATGAAGTCCAGTGGTAGTACAAATAGTAATAATATTTTTGTTATGTAATGATTACAACCTTTGTTTATTATAACTTAAGAAATGCTGAACCCTATCCTAGGAAGCCTCATTTTACAAATAATGGTTCCAATGATCTGTAAGAGTAAAATAATTTGTCCGTGGCAATATAGCCAGGAAAGGGCCAACCTGAAAGTTGAACCCAGTTTTCCTGACTATACTCTGTGTGGACCACATCAACTGCTTGATTTAATTGCTTCTTTCTCTAGATTTATTTATTATTACTCTTGCCTAAAAATCTAACTCTCTTGGACTATTCTACTGCTTGTTGCTTTATTTTATTCTCACTCATTTTCTTTATCTAATTTCCCAATAACTTGCCAATCAGCTCCTGGACATAAGCTTTTTGTCTTACAGATATTTTATATATTTTATATATTTAGATATTTCACATATTTTGATCTTCAATGCCTGCTCAGCACTGTTTATTGATAGTTACCATATTTATGTAATTATGTTTTATTTTTCCTAATGTGTCTTTCAAAAAAGCAGATGAATATAATGTTTTAATCTTCATTCTGAGAAAAACTCCTTAAACAGATCTTAATATTCTGAGCATTTTGGATCTCTTTTAAGACATTTTTCTTCATCAATGATTGTAGTGGCTTCTAAAATTTTAATCTGTAATGCAGATGCTATAACTCTATGAACTCTGGTAGAATTATTTTTTGAAAGATTCATGTACAATTTTGCTGTTTTCCTGATGGTGCTAAATACTCCAATAGCGCAGCTTTGCCTATGTACACAGCAACTGTTCAGTGTGTGTTTGTTGAATTAACGTGGTAAGGATCTCAGCATGGTAAATGTCATAATTATTTCTTCTCTTTCCTGTTAGGATCATCATTTTGGTGAGGCAAGACAATAATATTTGTAACAAACTCTTCATAGTAGATTCCACAATTGAAGAGGACAAAATAATTTTATTTTTATTCACTAGTCATCTGAATCTAAGAGTTAGCTTTATGAGACTCCTTCTGAGTACATATTTGATTATAGTATGAACATATTTTTTCCTTCACTACATAAGATTAAGTTTATTAAAGTAAATCCCCCCCCCCAAAAAAATAAAGTAAATCCCCAAACAAATAAGTGGAGTCAGATTGTATTTTCATCCCTTACATTCTAGGATTATCCATTTGATTATGGAACTTTTCTGAATATTTATAGTCCAAATTTTTTCTAATTTATTATTAAAATAGGATAATTTAAGCATTTAGTTTTATTTATTTATTTATTTATTTATTTATTTATTTATTTATTTATTTATTTATTATACCACTATCTTATTAAACTCTTGAAGTAAATTCATTCTCCTTTGGATATTCATCTATTCTCCATTATTTTTTATTTTTTTAATTTTGTTTATTCATGAGAGACAGAGAGAGAGAGAGAGACAGAGAGAGAGAAAGAGAGGCAGAGACACAGGCAAAGGGAGAACCAGGCTCTCCATGCAGGGAGCCCGATGCGGGACTCGATCCCAGGACTCCAGGATCACGCCCTGGGCCAATGGCAGGTGCTAAACCGCTGAGCCACCCAGGCTGCCCTCTCCATTATTTTTAAATTCTGCTTTTAAAATATATCATTCATCCTTCAAAGACTAAGATATTTGAAAAATGGAGGTGGAAAAGATGATAATTTTATAGTATCTACAAATATCCATGAATTTAGTCTAATAAAATATCATAACTTCTAACATACCAATATTGCATATCAATGAGGCATATGATCTCTATTTTTTCATTTTCTTTTCCTTCTCTTTTTAGTTGAAAGACTATTTAGTTCTTCTTGGTAATATATCTAATGTTCCACTGTTGAACCCTGATTACCATTATGTTTTTCATACTGTTGATAAAACTGTGTGAGATATGTAAAGTTCTATATTAATTCAGTTGCGTTTTATTTTCTAGGTGTGAATCCAGTAAGTGTGGAGCTGAATTCTATGCTTTGTCCTGCACCTGCCCTGAATAAAGTTGGAGAGTAAGCACTTCATTAACTTTTTGAAAACATGTTAGCTGTATAAATTATTAGGAAATGATGACAAATATACATTAATTATATACTACCTCTTTTTTTTTGATGTACAAAATGAACATGAAAATAGAAAGCTCAAGGCAAACCACTCTGGTTAGTACTTTATTTATAATATGCTTTTAGTAGGTTGAAAATGCTAAAGTCTGCTTTATCTGGTTTCTTAAATATTGATTAAAAGGTCCTATAAATATTTATCTGGATGGGTATGAGAACTATTGTTAGAGCCTTTAAATATTCAGAACTACAGTCATTATTTTGAACTTGAGAGTATTACATTTACACATACACATTTACACACACACACACGAGTTCCAAAGTGAGATTTTGACTAATTACTATGGTAGTTAAATATCAAGATAAAAGAAGAAAAGGAACATGGCTCAGTAAGGCATACCTTGGACTAGGAAATATTTGTGCTTTAATTTGTATCCAGGTCTTGTTAAGGTCTATTTTCTCATGTTTGTTAGTCTGGCAATAAACCATAATGATAGCTGGTTAAAATAAGGGATGTTTAGTTTGGATGAAGAGCTTTTGTTTAAATCACCTAAACACCGATAATTTCACTAGTCATTTAGTATTTCCATTTGTGATTTTCATTTTACCCTATTATGAGGGAAATGATTGCAGACAGTTCAGATGTTCCCTAGTCCAACAGTAGTGATTACAATATGTTTAGGATAATAAATAAGTTACAGGATTACTTTATATTGATCACACATATCCAGCAGAAGAAAAGAAAGTATACAGAGTTTATTAGCTTCTCCTAGTTTTTCTAGGAGTTTCTAGTTTCTGTCCTTGGCAGGAATGGTTTTGTTAAGATAATTCATTTATGTCACCCCCTCCACTTAAAATCCTTGATAATGGGTTCCCTATTCCCCTCAGAGCGAAAATCTAAATATTGCAATGTTCTAGGAGGTTCTGTAGGATCTGGCCCCCCTCACAACTTCCTTTTGCCCTTTCTGTTATGGTCACACTGATCTCTCTGCTGTTCTTTACAACTTTGGCACTTTTACACTTGTTCCCTATGCTTGAAATGCTTTGCTCCTCATTCACTCTCACTTTCTTCAGGCCTTGTTCAAATGTCACCTTGGGAAACCCTTCCTGATCACCCTATTTAATTGGTACAGTCTTCTCCCTCTGAAGTTTGGCACTCCCTCTTCCCTTTTCATGGTTAATTTTTTTCTCCCAAACATTTATTTGTTTGTTCTTATATCTCTTTTCCTTCTAGGATAAATTTTGTTTTGTTTCTTGCTCTGTCTGTAACACCTAACACAATACTTGACACACAACAGATTCATAAATGTTTGTTAGATGAGAAGATGTCTGCATTTTTCTCAAATATTTTGAATTACTAGTTATATAAGAAGCAAAAAGACTACCTGTGATTGCTGGGGGGTCAGGGGCTTATATCAGGTAGGAGATAAATGACCAGAATCTTACTGGGGTGCATGTCACTTAAGAGAACAGGAAACTGTCTTGGCTTTTTAATAATAGTGATTGGTTAAGGAAGACAGTTTACTTTCTTCTCCAAAGTAGTTATAAAATGCAGTATGCCTGTTCTGTCCCAGACACTGAATTTGTTTTGCCTTTCGACACTCTTATTTTGAAGAGGCTACTCTAGAAACTACTGATATTCTTCAGTGATTTGTAGATTGGCTAAATATGCAGGAGGCATGATTTTAAAAAATCATATAGAACATAATAAATATGAGACATGAGAAGTTGTCATTGGTTTGGCTTTTGATATTAATATTTCACCTACAAGCAAGCTGAGGATTTTGAGGGAAGGAGATCTGTCTAAAATAATAATTTTTGCTCTTCCTTCCTTTCTTCTTTCTTTCTTTCTTTCTTTCTTTCTTTCTTTCTTTCTTTCTTCTTTCTTTCCTTTCTTCTTTCTTTCTTTCTCTTTCTTTCTTCTTTCTTTCTTTCTTTCTTCTTTCTTTCTTTCTTTCTTCTTTCTTTCTCTTTCTTTCTTTCTTTCTTTCTTTTTCTTTCTTTCTTTCTTTCTTTCTTTCTTTCTTTCTTTCTTTCTTTCTTTCTTTCTTTCCTTCCTTCCTTCCTTCCTTCCTTCCTTCCTTCCTTCCTTCCTTCCTTTCATTTTCTTTCTTTCTTTTTGGTATCAAGGACATGATACCACTGAGGCAAAGCATGAGAAGGTTTTATTTGTTAATGTATTGGGCATTACAATGATTGGGGACATCATTATTGTTCTAAGTATGTTGTGAGTAATTTGGACCTTTCCTTTGCCTTGACTTTTATTCAGATACTTTTGTAGGTGATGAGCTCTCTTATGAGCTTGGATTAAAATCAACACAACGGAAACAGTTTAGCCTTGTAAGGTGACTGATGCTTAATATGTTTGCCTAATTAGCTTTTGGCTAAGAATTCAAGCCCATTAAGTAGCTAGTTAGTCTAGGTTTCAAACAAACACATCTGGCCCAACAATGAATGAAGGTTTTTCCTGTGTGAGGGTGACAGATGTGGTGATGGTTCCCCCTGTTCTCTCACTTAAATAATTAACAACACCCCAGTGAAGTAACCCTAGATAGACAGCCTCAAAGCCAGATGCATAGTCTCAGAGCTGGATCTGTGGACATATGCCTCATCTCATTAGCCTGCTCTATTAGTTCCTTTCTCTTCTTTATGTTACTTCCTGAATTCCATTGTGTTTGAGGATTATTCTTTTAAAAACCTAAAGGTTCCTGAATTTTTTTTAAGATTTTTATTTATTCATGGGAGACACACACACACACACACACACACACACACAGAGAGAGAGAGAGAGAGAGAGAGAGAGAGAGAGAGAGAGAGACAGGCAAAGGGAGAAGCAGGCTCCATGCAGGGAGCCCGATGTGAGACTTGATCCCGGGACTCCAGGATTATGCCCTGGGCTGAAGGCAGGCGCTCAAACGCTGAGCCACCCAGGTGTCCCAGGTTCCTGAATTTTAATTTGTAAGAAGGTTAATGTGAAATTGCTTTACTTGGAGATGGGCAGCTAGGACAATAGATTTGCATTTGGAAATTGATCTTGTGGAGTGAACGAAGATTAAAGCTATCTGGGTAGATCTTATCCAGGTGTATCATTGGTTAGCATTGTTGAAATGGGTCTTTGAAGTACTTTCTTTAAGAGAGATCTCTGTTTATCAAATTTCTTTATTTAATGTAGATTTCCAGGTTGAGATGGATGGGTTTTTTTGTTTGTTTTGTTTTGTTTTTGTTTTTTTTTTTTAGGATTTTATGTATTTATTTGAGAGAGAGAGAGAGAGATCAGGAGAGAGAGTGGGAGAGGGAGAGAGCATGAGCAGGGGAGAGGGAGAGGAAGGGGCAGAGGGGGGAGTGATAAGCAGACTCCCTGCTGAACTGGGGGCACAGGTGGAGGCAGAGGCAGAGTCAAGGTTCCATCCCAGGACCCTGGATCATGACCTGAGCCAAAGGAAGAAGTTTCACCAACTGAGCCATCCAGGCGCCACTAAGGTAGATGGATTCTTAGTACTTAAACAGGAAGAATGCAAAGGTGGTAGTAATGAAGTCATTCTTTTGTATTTCTTTCGTTGGATGCAATTTAATTTTAAAATGTCATATGATTAAACATATTATCTTATCAAGAAAAATCTATAGATAGTTTGGGAGTTTATTTCCACCAGTGGCTCATTTGTACCGACATGTCTTAAGTTTGAATAGGAAGGACTCTGTGAAGTTCTTCACCTCCTTCCTTGGCAGGGCTTTTACCTCATGGTGTGATGTGCAGGTGTCACCAGTGCTTGCAGTACAGGCTCATCCTCTGACCCCTGTTTAGTGAGACATCAACAATAGCACAGCTGCTCTGCAATAGTTGAGATCTCAAACCTGTAATTTGGCAAGAAGAACAGAGCAAATTGGGTAAATATACATAAACACATTGTGAAGGAAGAAAAACAGAACAGAATGAACCAGAGCCTTATCCTACAGCTTGTTTGATAGAGATGATTTAAGGAGGCATATGGTATAGTTAAATGTGCTTTCAAAAACATTGGCCAGAGTCTTCTGGCAAATATGAAATAAATATCTAAATCAGATGAAACTGATAGTATTAGTTTTCCTAAAAGGCAATGTGGGAAGAACTTGACAGAGTGTTTTGAGTAAGAAGTGGTGGGACATTAGTATATGTGGAAAATTTTAAGCATGTGATATTGAAGGGTCATTCAAATGAATGGTGTGGCAGACTTGGGGTTAGAGCCTGACTTGGTAATAGAATCTTTTTATTTTCTTTTTCAACGTTGTTATTTTTTTTTCAATACAACTATTTTGCCTGGAATGAAATCTATTCATTCTGCTTCTCTTTCTTGGTTTGACAAATTCTGCTGTTAGCACAAATGAACACTTCTTTTCAAAAATATACCTATGTATGTATGTATATACAATCTCTAATAACATTGTTTTAGTAGCAGATGATATAATAATCCCTTATTCTCTCTTCTGTTCCTTATGAGGAATGAGACTTGATTTATTTATTTTTACCATGGATACTAGGAGATTAGTTATATCTTTACTTTGAATATAAACATCAAAATCTTGTGAGAGATCTAATCTAATCTAAACCTTTGTAAGGCTGAGTTTCTTTATTTCTCACCCCCCCCCCAATGGTAGAACATTTGTCTCTTCTTTCACGATGTACTGCTTTCTAATTATACCTATAATTGTGATCAGTTCACCTAATCTGTATTGCATCTCTATCCCAAGTATTAGATTTGGTTCTGGAAATTGTCTTTTAAGAGAAACAACAGTCAATTTGGGCACATCAAAGGATGGCTCACAAGATGTTGCCTAGAATGGAAATATTAAATAGAGCATAATTTGAAATACTGAAAAATATATGATTCAAGGGTGACACATCAGCTGTCTGCAAACATCAGCTCTGTCATCTGAAAGACAGATTTGATTTATTCTTTATTGCTCCCAGGAAAGGA